TTCCAGTTCTCCAAAGCTTTAGCCTCCTGCTGCCTTTCTCTTTCACCTTTGGCTATTTTGATGGAGCCTACATCACTCTAATCCCGGTGGGGACAGCAGATGTCATGGGGACTGCGTCCTTATCCTCCGCTCTTGGCATGGTCTACTTCCTTCAGGCAATCCCTTACCTGATCAGCCCACCTGTTGCAGGTCAGTATGGAGGAGGGAATCAGATCATATACAGACCAGTCTATATACACCTGCAGAATATGGCTTCACTCAGTTTGTCTCTCTATTCCAGTTGTAACTAATGCACACGGATGATGGATAGAGTGGACACAAAGCTAACATTAAATTTTTTAAAATTGGATCCAGATTCATGTTTTTATTTTATATAAGATTGCATTTATTAAGTATAGGAACAATTTATTTCTCTCAAAGAATGGTTGATTAATATTGTGTCATCTGAATATAAACACATGGATTCCAATGCCTTCTATATGTCAATTTCAGAGAGGGTTTTCTGTGTAAATCAGAAACTAATGGGATCGTTTCTCCAAGATGAGTATTTACATTTTCCCTACCAGGCATTACCTTCAATTTTTTGGTTTGGCAGTATGTTCAGTAGAAAAGTCAAGGTCTTTAAAAATTATATAATGTGCTTCTTTTGATACTGTATATATAACATGCCTATATTAGCTAGGAATTTAGATCAATCAGATGGATTAGCAGTTGGTCTGAATCCAGCTGGTGATCCTCTTTCTTCCATTTACATTTTGGCAGATCTCCATGGTGGCATTTAGATTGGTTCGTCATTGGCCCCATAACACATCTCCTCTTTGTCAGTTAATTTACTTGTTTGTTCAATTTAGGCATGTCCCAACTATACGCTGACTCTGGGCAGCTCATGATACTAGGTGATATAAAAATAATAAATAACAATCTACATCAAACAGTAAACAGATGGATCCAGTGAACACATCAAACAAATACTGTACCCCCAGCAGGAGCTCCAACCACTCTAGCTGAGTACCTGGGGGAAGAGCCAGGTTTTGAAGGCCCTCTGAAATGTCATCTTCTCTGGTCTCACCCTTGAACCTTTATGGACTTGTGATCAGTCATGTATTAATGAGCTTTTAGCAGTACAAACACTGCCCAATCTATTTTAGGATCACTAGCCATGTCTTTGCTGGAGTAAACCATCAGTCTGTCTTCAACTACCACTAGAGCTGTCTAAATCCATTTCAGCCATGTCATCTGTCAGGCATCACCTTCATATGCAAGCTTCCTCTTCCCAACAAACCCCTGGGTTTTTTAAGGCTTCCCTCTTTCCTAACTCCACATCTGCTACTCTGCCATCTCCCGTGAGTACCATGTCTATGAGAATTTAAGCCATCTTCTGTTTCCAGCTCCTTATCATCAAAGCTTAGCACAAACTTAGTGCAAAGAGTTTGAGTGTGTGTGTAGAAGCATGTTCAAAAATTAGAGAACAAAAGAACTGAGAAAGGAGCCATGTGCAGCTTAGTGAATGTGTCCCTGCCATATAAAGTGTAAGGAATGGTTAGACTAACTCCCTATTCTGCTTTTGCTGACCTATTGACTGCTAGGATCAGTCTTGATATTAAGGAACTGCTTTTTGCAAGTAGAGATAAAAGTTACATATAAGAGCTTCTGCTGACATAGGAAGGTCAGTTAAAGAAACTGGGAATGCTTTTGCAAGTTGGAATATTATAAAAGTTATAAGGTGCTAAGCATATAAAAGTAAGGTGCAAAAGGAAATGGAAAGATGTGGTTAAGCTAATGTCTCGCTTTCGAGCTCCTGGACACATTTCCTGAGCATGCATGAACTTTTGCACCTGCTTTTGCTTCTAACCACATCCTCTGAACGATTTGGGGCAAGCTAGATTGCAAAGCCTTATATGGGGTACCCCTGGAGTGGACGAGAGCTAGAAACTTGATGCTGCTTAAGCTAATGTTTTGACAAC